CATCACCCCAGATAATAAGGCCATCACCCCAGATAATAAGGACATCACCCCAGCTAATAAGAACACAACCCTCAGAGAATCAGTCTTTTTTGGTGAGCTAATTAGAATATCACCCCAGCTAATAAGGACATCACCCCAGCTAATAAGGCCATCACCCCAGCTAATAAGGCCATCACCCCAGCTAATAAGGACATCACCCCAGCTAATAAGGACACAACCCTCAGAGAATCAGTCTTTTTTTGTGAGCTAGTTAGAATATCACCCCAGCTAATAAGGCCATCACCCCAGCTAATAAGGACATCACTATAAACTGTCATCTTGCAACAGACGCTTCTTAATGCACCTTGCAACAGAACTGCCTCATAGCTTATCAATTTGCAACAGTTGTCTCTTTGATACATCTTGCAACATATCTGTCTGCTTAACTTGTCAGCCTGCAACATAAATAGCTCTTTAATATGTCTTGCAACAGAGCTATCTATATCATCCACTTGTCTGCATCATGCCTCTATCATCCACCTGTTTGCACCATGCCCTATCATCCACCTGTCTGTATCATGCCTCTATCATCCACCTGCCTGCGACATACCTCTATCATCCACCTGTCTGTATCATGCTTCTATCATCCACCTGCCTGCGACATACCTCTATCATCCACCTGTCTGTATCATGCCTCTATCATCCACCTGCCTGCGACATACCTCTATCATCCACCTGCCTGCGTCATACCTCCTATCATCCACCTGTTTGCATCATGCCTCTATCATCCACCTGCTTGCACGACATACCTCTATCATCCACCTGTCTGTATCATGCCTCTATCATCCCACCTGCCTGCGACATACCTCTATCATCCACCTGTCTGTATCATGCCTCTATCATCCACCTGCCTTGCGACATACCTCTATCTCATCCCACCTGTCTGTATCATGCCTCTATCATCCACCTGCCTGCACGACATACCTCTATCATCCACCTGCCTGCATCGCCCACCTCTATCATCCACCTGTTTGCATCATGCCTCTATCATCCACCTGCTTGCGACATACCTCTATCATCCACTTGTCTGCATCATGCCTCTATCATCCACCTGTTTGCACCATGCCCTATCATCCACCTGTCTGTATCATGCCTCTATCATCCACCTGCCTGCGACATACCTCTATCATCCACCTGTCTGTATCATGCCTCTATCATCCATCTGCCTGCGACATACCTCTATCATCCACCTGTTTGCACCATACAGCTATCATCCATCATTTAGTCTTCAAGCTGTACCGAATGTCGTTGCAGCTTAAGCTGGGGTAGTTATCTCTCAAGGGGTGACTGGGGTAGTTATCTCTCAAGGGGTGACTGGGGTAGATATCTCTCAAGGGGTGACTGGAGTAGTTATCTCTCAAGGGGTGACTCAGGTAGTTATCTCTCAAGGGGTGACTGGAGTAGTTATCTCTCAAGGGGTGACTGGAGTAGTTATCTCTCAAGGGGTGACTGGAGTAGTTATCTCTCAAGTAGTTATCTCTCAAGATTCAATATTTGTTCTCTCAGTGGCAGCTGTGGCACTGATCACTGCTATGAGTCTGTGTTCTGACAGTTCTGGGGCGATAGTAACCTTGGTGAGAGGGAGGGAGTGAGGGAGTGGGAGGAAGGGAGAGGTAGAGAGGGAGGGAGGGAGAGTGTGTGGGTGTATGAGAGAGGTAAAGAGATAGAGAGAGTGGGAGAAGAGGAGATAGGGAGAGGGAAGGAGAGGGTGTATGAGAAATTAAAGAGTGAAGAGGAGGAAGAGGGAAGGAGAGGAGGTAGGAGGAAGGGAGTGGGGAGAGGAGGAGAAGGGAGTGGGAGGAAGGGAGAGTGCGTTTTATGACAGCTCTGTGGTGGTAGCAGCTCTGGGGGAGGAAATTGATTTAATGAGGTGGTAGAGAGAGAGAGAGAGGGGGATGAAGGAAGGGAGAGGGGTTGAAAGAAAGAGATAATGAGAAAGAGAAGAGGGATGGGTAAGAGAGAGGGGAATGAAGGAAAAGAGAGAGAGAGAGAGAGAGAGAGAGAGAGAGTGTATCAGGAAAACCTCACTTTACGATCGTTTAAGACTCAAGTTGACCGTCAATAACCTACGTGTGTTGTGGTGTAAGGGGTGCCAATACTAACCTGGCACTAATGGCACTGTTACCTGTCTGATGCCAGTTAAGGTTGTGTTATTTTCTCGTGTTGAATATTAGCGAGAATTTATTTATTTTTTCTCATTCTTTCTTTCTTTCTTTCTGTCTTTCTTTCTTTCTTTCTTTCTTCCTTTCTTCCTTTCTTTCTTTCTTCCTTTCTTTCTTTCTTTCTTCCTTTCTTTCTTTCTTTCTTTCTTCCTTTCTTTCTTTCTTTCTTTCTTTCTTTCTTTCTTCCTTTCTTTCTTTCTTTCTTTCTTTCTTCCTTTCTTTCTTTCTTCCTTTCTTTCTTTCTTTCTTTCTTCCTTTCTTTCTTTCTTTCTTTCTTTCTTTCTTTTCTTTCTTTCTTTCTTCCTTTCTTTCTTTTTTCTTTCTTTTCTTTCTTTCTTTCTTTCTTTCTTCCTTTTCTTTCTTTCTTTCTTTCTTTTTCTTTCTTTTCTTTTCTTTCTCAGAGACATAAAATTTTGTTGATGGTAGTAATAAAAGGTCTTGGGTAAATTTGTAAACACTATTATTTCTATAGTGTTTTTTTGTCGTACATATATAATGGTAAATAGTGAACAATTACTCTCTGGTAAAAATAATAGGCTGGAGGTATTGTTTTCACCGAGTTGCGGCTGTTTTGTTTATATTTACGGTTTATGAATAGGATTAATTAACTTTGTAGAGAATACCTGACGATGCTGGTCACAGTATTAAGTGTTTACCTGTGTGTGTGTGTGTGTGTGTGTGTGTGTGTGTGTGTGTGTACTTTTTGTTTGTATGTTTGTGTGTGTCTTTATGTGTGTATGTTTATTTGTCGTGTTAACTAAATATTGTGTGTTAATTTGGTATCTTTAACTTACAGTGTGCTTAACTTACTGTGTTTAACTTATTCTGCTTTGATGCTTTAACTTAGTATGTATCTTAACTATTTATATGTTAATTTAACCTTACCTCTTGTTAATATACTACGTTTATTAACTTAATATCGATATTAACTGCATTTATTAACTTAGCATGTATTTTAATTTAGCTATATGTTAAATTAAGCTTTACCACGTGTTAATATAGTGTTTTTATTAACTTAGCATCCATGTTAACTTAGCTGTATGTTAAATTAAGCTTTACCACGTGTTAATATAGCGTTTTTATTAACTTAGCATCCATGTTAACTTAGCTGTATGTTAAATTAAGCTTTACCACGTGTTAATATAGTGTTTTTATTAACTTAGCATCCATGTTAACTTAGCTGTATGTTAAATTAAGCTTTACCACGTGTTAATATAGTGTTTTTATTAACTTAGCATCCATGTTAACTTAGCTGTATGTTAAATTAAGCTTTACCACGTGTTAATATAGCGTTTTTATTAACTTAGCATCCATGTTAACTTAGCTGTATGTTAAATTAAGCTTTACCACGTCTTAATATAGTGTTTTTATTAACTTAGCATCCATGTTGACTTAGCTGTATGTTAAATTAAGCTTCACCACGTGTTAATATGGTGTTTTTTGGTGTGTTTCAGCCGAGCATTTAAACAGCTATGTCACTCTGAAGCTTCAAAATGTCAAGTCGACGACTGTATGCGTCAAGGGCACCCAACCACGATGGGAGCAGGACTTCCTCTTGTGAGTACTGTTTATGAGTACTTTTTACCCTCTGTGAGTTCTGTTTATGAGTACTGTTTACCCTTTGTGAGTGTTGTTTATGAGTACTTTTTACCCTTAATGAGTTCTGTTTATGAGTACTTTTTACCCTTTATGAGTACTTTAACCCTTTGTGAGTACTGTTTATGAGTACTTTTTACCCTTTGTGAGTAATTTATGAGTACTTTTTACCCTTTATGAGTACTGTTTATGAGTACTTTTTACCCTTTATGGGTACTGTTTATGAGTACTTTTTACCCTTTATGAGTACTGTTTATGAGTACTTTTTACCTTTTGTGAGTACTGTTTACCGTTTGAGAGAAATAAGGTATGGAATAAATATGGTAAGAAAAAATAGGTGGAGTAAATAGGAAGGAAAAGACGGAGGATGACGGAGATGAGAGAGGAAATTAGGATGAAGGAGGAGCTACGGAGAAGGAGGGAGGGAGGGAGGGGGTGATAAGGAGGGAGATGGAGGAGAGGGGAGAAGGTGGTAGGGGAAGGAGAGGGGGAGAAGGTGTAGGATAGGAGGAGGAGAAGGAGGGAATGGGGGTGGAGGATAGGATGAGGCAAAGGCGAGGGTGGAAGAGGAAGATGGAGAAAGAGGAGGAGAAAAGAAAAAGAAGACGAACAACAGTAACAACAAAATGAAGAAACACACACACACACACACACACACACACACACTTTTCTGGGCTCCCTAAAATGTTTGTTTACACAGCGGTCTGACCATCGGGATCCATTTACTAATTGTTTTGACCGTGGTGTGTGTGTGTGTGTGTGTGTGTGTACGTACGTGTGTGTACCGTGTCCTGTGTGTGCGTATGCCGTGTCCCTCTGCTGTTTCTATATCCGCCGCCCATCGACCGTGTCTCTCAACCATCTCACCGCCGTGTCTCTACTGCCGTACCTCTACCTCCCCCCCCTCTTCCCTCCCCTCCCCCCCTCCATCTAGCAGTGACTTACTGATATATCTATGGAACGTGTAGCGACCGTGTTTTAGCTGTCACTACCATGATCTTCCACTTTACCATGATCTTCCCTACCATGATCTTCACTACCATGATCTTCCCTACCATGATCTTCACTACCATGATCTTCCTTTACCATGATCTTCCCTACCATGATCTTCCCTACCATGATCTTCACTACCATGATCTTCCCTACCATGATCTTCACTACCATGATCTTCACTACCATGATCTTCCCTACCATGATCTTCACTACCATGATCTTCACTACCATGATCTTCCCTACCATGATCTTCACTACCATGATCTTCACTACCATGATCTTCACTACCATGATCTTCACTACCATGATCTTCACTACCATGATCTTCACTACCATGATCTTCACTACCATGATCTTCCACCATACCATTATGTTCCTCTACCATACTGTGTGATATACTACCATGTTTCCCCCACCATGTTACTCAACCATCATCTCTACCATGCTATATTAATCATGTTCTACCACCATAACCCTCACTACCATACCTCATGACCTTGACCCTCTGCCATGACACCCTCCCTCTCCCCTCTGCCATGACACCCTCCCTCTCCCCTCTCCCCCCCTCTCTCTCCCTCCCCTCTCCCTCCTCCTCTAGCGTATAAATGCTTGAGAGTGTCACTGATAGATGTGGCGCCGTTGGGTGATAAATACACGACCTGGTTACTTCTCTCTCCCTCTCCCTCTCTCTCTCCCTCACCTCTTCCCTCTCCCTCTCCTCTCTCCCTCTTCCTCTCCCCTCTCCCTCTCCCCTCTCCTCTCTCCTTCTCTTCTCTCCCTCTCCCTCTCCTCTTCCCTCTCCCTCTCTCCCTCTCTTCTCTCCCCTCTCTCCCCTCCCTCTCCCTCCTTTCCTCTCTCTCTCTCTCCTTCCTCCTCCCTCTTCCTCCCCTTTCACCCTTCTTCCTCTCTTCCCTCCCCTCCTTTCCCCTTCTCTGTTATCTCTCCTTTCTTCCTCCCCCTCTCTTCTCTCTCGCTCTCCCTCTTCCTTCCTCTATCTCCTCCTCTTCCCTCTCCCTTTTCGCTCTCTCTTTCCCTTCTCCCATTTCCCTCCCTGCCCTCTCTACCCCTCTTCTTTCCCTCTCTCCCTAACCCTATGCTCCTCCCCTCTCCCACTCTGAAGGATGCGGTCACAAACTATGTAAAGTGTTCGTTTATGCAAGACAGGAGTCGAGGCTTAAGTCCTTGGCACCTTCCTGTGGCACCCTGTTGTGGCACTTATCTCTGGCACTGTATTGTGGCATCTGGCCGCCATCTTTGTTGTTTATTATTTGATATTTTATAAGAATCAGCCGAAAACTCTTATGTGGTCGCTCGAGAGAGAGAGACAGAGAGAGAGAGAGAGAGAGAGAGAGAGAGAGAGAGAGAGAGAGACACTAGGTACATAATGGTGTTGTGTGAGGCTCTCTTAGTGGCCTCTGCACCATTATGCCACAGTAAACAGACGGCAGGTGAGGGGGGGGGTGATGTATTGTTTGCTGCTGCTGACTTACTTTGTTTTGTTTGCTCGGCTTTTGTTTGCATCTTTATTGTTTGCTCGGCTTTTGTTTTCTTTTTATTTGTCCGGCTTTGTTTAGTTTTTTGTTTATTTTGTTTTCTCGGCTTTTGTTTACTTCGTATTGTTTGCTCGTCCGGTTATATAGATGGCCGGTTAATTTAGTTTCTGGTTATCTATAGATGTCCAGCAGTTATTTGGGCATCCGGTTATCAAGGGAGTCCGGTTACCTTGGGAGTCCGGTTATCTAGATGTCCAGCAGTTATTTGGGCGTGCGGTTATTAGAGGAGTCCGGTTACTTGGCAAGTCCGGTTATCTGAGGTGTCCGGTTATCTGAGGTGTCCGGTTATCTAGATGTCCAGCAGTTATTTGGGCGTGCGGTTATTTGAGGAGTCCGGTTACCTGGGGAGTCCGGTTATCTCAGGTGTCCGGTTATCTCAGGTGTCCGGTTATCTCAGGTGTCCGGTTATCTCAGGTGTCCGGTTAGAACTATATATTTATTAGGAAACTCTCACTGTAATACACGGCTTCACTCACAAGGCCAAGGTCACGGGCTATAGGTCAGAGGTCACAGGGTCTCTCTCTCTCTCTCTCTCTCTCTCTCTCTTTTCTCTATATTCCTCCCATTCTCTTTCTTTTTCTTTCTTTCTCTGTAAATTCCTCTCATTCTTTCTTCATATCTCTCTTCCTTTTTTTCTTCCCTCTTCCTTTCTTTATTCCTTTGTATCATATCTCCCCTCCCCATCTCCCCTTCCTTGTCTCCTCATCTCCTCTCCATCTCCCTCACCTCTCCTCACCGCCTTTGAATACACACACACACACACACACACACACACACACACACACACACAACATACAGCAGCAGATATACACAATTGGCTTAGTGTTTTGTTGACCTAAAAAATAGCTCGTCTCTCCCCTCCCTCCCTCTCTCCCTCCCTCCCTCTCTGCCTCCCTCCCCCTCCCTCTCTCCCCTCTCTCCCCTCCCTCTCTCTTGCTCCACCTCTTGCTTTCTTCTTCCCTCCCTCTTGGTATAGTGCCAGTTAGTGCCATATTATTCAATTTTGTCGTGGCTGTATTTTAAAGAGATGTGTGTGTGTGGTAGTAGTAGTAGTAAGAGGGGTGGTAGTAGTAGTAGTAGTAGTAGTAGTAGTAGAAGTAGTAGTAGTAGTAGTAGTGTGGCTGAACTGGTCTGGATTGTGCCCGCCATTGAGATCTTAAGAGAAGCAGTCAAGAGCGGCTGTGTGTGTGTGTGTGTGTGTGTGTGTGTGTGTGTGTGTGTGTGTGTGTGTGGATACAGTACATGGTGACACTGCACTCAACCCCTTCAATTCCCAAACTGCACTTCAAATTTTATATCCACACACACACACACACACACACACACACACACACACACACACACACACACACACACACACACACACACACATTTTAACACCTCTGAAGATTATTATTGACACAACTGATGAAGTCTTGTGGTGGAAGAAATATGTGACTTAATTATTAAGAGTGTGTCAGCTACCACCATCTACTACCACCACTAACCACCACTACCACCACTACCACCACTAGCAAGACTTGTGCAAACATGACTGTGTACATATTTATTAACACACACACACACACACACACACACACACCTTTCACCTCTCTCTCTCTCTCTCTCTCTCTCTCTCTCTCTCTCTCTCTCTCTCTCTCTCTCTCTCTCTCTCTCTCTCTCTCTCTCTCTCTCTCTCTCTCTCTCTCTGCGCGTTCTTCTTATACTTCTCAGCTGTTGGAGAAATATTATGTAAATTTATCTGTCTTCCTCTGCACGTCTGTCTGTCTGTCTTTCTATTTATCATCTATCTATCTAATAGGTTAGGTTAGGTTAGGTTAGGTTAGATTAGGTTAGGTTAGGTTAGGTTAGGTTAGGTTAGGTTATGCTATGCTATGCTAGGTTATGCTATGCTAGTTTAGGCAAGGTTAGATTAGATTAGGTTATGCTATGCTTGGTTATGCTATGCTAGGTTAGGTAAGGTTAGATTAGATTAGATTAGGTTATGCTATGTTAGGTTATGCTATGCTAGGTTATGCTGTGCTAGGTTAGGTCAGGTTAGATTTGATTAGGTTATGCTATGCTAGTTTAGGTAAGGTTAGATTAGATTAAGTTATGCTATGCTAGGTTATGCTATGCTAGGTTATGCTAGGTTAGGTTAGGTTAGGTTAGGTGAGATTAGATTAGGTTATGCTATGCTAGGTTAGGTTAGGTTAGGTTAGGTGAGATTAGATTAGGTTATGCTATGCTAGGTTATGCTAGGTTAGGTTAGGTTAGGTGAGATTAGATTAGGTTATGCTGTGCTAGGTTAGGTCAGGTTAGATTTGATTAGGTTATGCTATGCTAGTTTAGGTAAGGTTAGATTAGATTAAGTTATGCTATGCTAGGTTATGCTATGCTAGGTTATGCTAGGTTAGGTTAGGTTAGGTTAGGTGA